GAAAGCCCTTAAAGAAGGTTCAGACACACTTAGCAAAAGTGTTGCCATTGTTTTTAGGAATGGTGAAATTATCGCGATCGGTCGAAATCTCACTTTTGCTTCAGAAGATATGGACTTACGTATCTGAACTACATTAATTTCTTTCCGGGTGGTCAGCACGTCTCTTCTTGCAAGAGACTGATTAAAGACGCTTCCCAGTGGATCGTGGGGAACATCAGCACATTTCCCAAAAGGAATATACGACATAAACAAATAAATAAATATCTTTGTTCTCAAGCTATGAATTTAAAATGAGAGAAGCCGGTTTACAGGTCTCATGAAATTGATGAAGGCGGGAAACATAAAAGGTGTGAGCAGTTTTGAATGGTACAGAGGGACGACATTAAATTCTATCATGATATCAAGTAAGTTACGTCAAATCCGCTGAGTAGCACGTAACGAAGATACGAATTTTCGGAGTCCCCAAAACCCAAAGCGAGAACTGATCGGATCCAAGACAACCGGTTGCCAAAAAAGCGAATGCGTATTCAAACAGCAAGCAAACCCTGCGAACATTGTTCTTTACGACAAAATATATGTACAAAACTTAGTTACAAATACTCCATTTTAACGGCTATTGCAGTTTCTATTCAAAAACGAAATATAGTTGAAACACCAATCGAAACAAGTGGTTAAATATGGTTGTACAAGCGAACTGCATGGAAATAAAATGAGTTGTCAATGTTTTTGAATACATCATAAGAACAAATCAAAACACATTCAACAAAGTGTCTAAATGTTACGAAAATAGCAGGAAAATACCAATTTACAGTACGCATACATAGTCCTGAGTTTGAGTCATTTTTACGCACAATTCTTATTTCACATCAAACGGCGCAATATTCGGTGTTTCCGTGATGAGTAGTCGACATAACTGACCCATCTGCAAAACCCAGTGTTTCTTCAGATAAACGTCTATTTTAACAGTAATTCTCAATTTTGTAGCTCTATCGACCAAAAAGAGCCGCAAACTAATGGCAGTGGGTTTTCGCACTGTTAGCGTTAAGGCATGCAGCATTATCAAGGTGTATTAACTGTTAGATGAAGCACTGTTGCATAACAGTGTTGTGAGTATGTTCACTTTAAGGTTGATGTATGAGTTGATTTCCTGAATTTTACTGTCCGTCCAGATTTTCGTTGCCACTATGACCGTCCGGGAATTTGAGCAATTCGAGAATTGATAAATGTTCATATAGTGGGAGGGTCAAATAGGTGAACGGGTTTGGTGATTCTTGCTTGTTGGACAGGAATTTTCGTAGGAGCATAGTTTCACTGCTTCGCAAAACAATGGAACGTTGAGACTTAGTAACGTATATCCCTCATTTGTGCCTTGTTGTCATCAATAAAGGTTATCTTGATGATGTGGGTCTGCGAGGATTTGAGTTAAATCCTTTGATCTTTTAGCTTTCAGATTTCTCGGTAATTCGGTAAGTTTTCATCGTAGCCCAGGTTCTTCATGTTGCAACCATCTGGAAGCTTTGCAGAAAAAACAACAAAAGCAGGTGTAGCCTCCGCTCCTTTGAAGTCGGAAATTGTTTATATATTGAGAGGTACTGTCATTTCCGCAGCTTCGGTAGCAGTATTAGTGGTGCTTATATTCTAGGGAGTTGAGGAGAGAATCTTAAGGCTACTGTCTAAGCGCCTGCGTACACTTATGGTACCAAACATTTCTATCCTATATGCTGCCTGAAGTTTACCCTGTTCTAGTTTGTTTAAATATGGCCTTCGGTCATATCATGTGCTCATATGAGATTCTAAAATGTTATCAACCTACCGCAATAAATTCGGCAAATGCGATTCGGACAAGGCATCATGGTGGATGACGGCGCCTTTTAGAGCGAACCGAACCATATCAAGTGGCAATACTCAGTGTACTCGGCTCGAATCGCAGATCTTTACCGAGTAGGGTAGATTTTTACGACGCTTTCTGTGTACATGTTGATGAAAGTGCCTTTATCAACACCCAATAGTGTTCTTCAAATTATACATGTCTTACCTATTCTGATGACAATGTGGAATGTTTGGCAGTAAGTGGCATCCCAGACATTTAGGTAGATATGAATTCATTTACACAGACAAACCCAAGGTCGATGAGTGATGACATTTTCACACCAGTGGCCATGTTCGAATGACCCTAAATGAAATCCGGTAAATATACAATGGCTTGGCTGTCATTTTTAAGTCTCGTGTTTGGTAAACGGGCGCCGCTTACTACTTTTTGTCAAGACTGAAGAAAATGTTATACCTGATCTTGCAGCAGCATACCTTTACATGGATATGATCCTACGAGGTTTGTCGGATCGGAAGCTAGGCAGTTCACAAGATATATTGGCTTTCATATGATTTCTAAGTGGCCCAAGCGGCGTAGGTGCAAATATATGTTGAAATTCTTCTTACTTTCGGAACTCCCTTAGATTCTACCACTTATTAACAAGGCTTTGACAGATCTATGTTCAGCACGAATAAATTCACTGCGTTATGCCTTACAAGTACCAATACTCTTAAGGCTGAATACACTAACTTTGCGTTGTCCGAAAGCATAACTTGAAGTAATAGGAAACTTTTATTCCACCAGTAGTTTTTGTTTCAAAATATTCTTTGAGACTTTTGCTTCAATCCTAGGAGTTCTTTCTACTCGCTAGTAGAGAATACACGGAAAGCGACGGATATTCAGTGAATTCAAAGGAAAGGTAAAAGAAACCGCATGTTGCTCCTCTGAGATCAAATATGAGGGATTAATTCAAATCGATGAACTTTCTATCCCCGCCAAAAAAACAATGGATAGCTACAAATGAAGCAACAAATTTCTTAGGATTTCACAGTAAAACTAATTACTACCATAATAAGGCAAGTATATATTTGAAACCAAGATCATGCATTCAGTGTGTAGGTTTTCTTCAACCTTACAGCTAACACCGGCAGTAATGCGCGAAACCCAGGAACAAGTAAAGGCTGGGACAGACGCCCATATTCTGACGTCAGCAAATGAACTGATTTAGAATGGACTTGTTGATCAGAGCCCGCTTAGTTTCACTTGAATCTAATGGCTGAAAATAAAAGCACAGATACAGAGTGGTGCCGCGCTGATGAAATACCTGACACTCTAGGAAAGTTTGTTTCCTTGAACAACGAGTTGAAGGGGGGCTGGCTTTTTGCTTCCGCGGCGTATTCAACCGCTTTTACTCATGACCTCAGAGATGTCTTTCAGAGGACTATAGTTGTCAGAAAAACCTCAACCATACAGCAACCTATCAAGTTTCTCCTTTGAGCAAACGTTTTTAGTACAGCTGTGTAGGTTTCTCATACTGACACTTTCACAGGTCACAAGAACTCAACCACCATCGGTCCTACGTCTGTGGTTGGATAGTCTCCCTCTTTGTCTTTTAACCTCTGAAAGTGGAATAATAAGGCCCCGAAGAAAAGAGCCCATTATTCATGTTTTACCGGAAATCTTGGACTAGAATTATTTCTTTTAAAGGAGTTACTGGACGACAGTCATAACTCAGCGGCAACTTCAAGCAGACTGGTGAAAGATATTATCCTACGGGGCCTGGGCCGTGTGTTGAAGCATCAAAAGGAATCTAGCTATCCCTGGCGGTTCCGGTGACATTCAACTTAACCGGCTTCAAATCAGAAAAACAGAAATGCCAGAGGTAAATAGGGAATAATAAATTTTGTAAGATCCACGGAACTGATGCAGAGGTTTAAATGTTTGCAGTACGGAAGCTTGATTGACGCAGGAGCCAATCACGAATTCCTCGTACTACAGACTACCCACGAGTGCTTGGTGGGAGAGGTTTTGCGTGTTTTAGTTCTCGAGACCAAAAATCATACGTCAGCTGTGACAGAAACGCATTTCGCCGAAACTTGGAGTAAGTAACCCTCTGAGAAGTTTTCGGTCACTTCCATCAAAGATGTCTTTATCTGCTTTTCAACCACTTCATGATGTCACACCTGGAGCTCTGAGTTATCGTCCGTGGATAGAAAAATAAGACTTAGAAAGCATCTAGAGGCACTCGACCAAATCTGTCAGAGGACCTTGCTCTAAAACACAGGTTGCTCACGCTCTATATCCCCCGGGGTAAGGAAGACTAAGTGACGTGATAATGTCTCACAACACCTTGAACGCTTCCGGACACCAATTCCGCCACTTACTGAATCTAAATTTGTGGCACCAATTTTAGAGAACTCATATAGAAATTAAGTCCAGCGCTTGGCATACTGAATGTCAGGCACAACTGCTCCTTAAGAGTTGCTGAACTCTAGGATGCTCCTCCTAACCTCGCCTGGTTAACTAGTTTACTAGTTACTAGCCGGTCCTAAGCCCGGGTAAAGAGGGAAGGTTGGGCATAGGGCTAGCAACCCTACCCCGTAAAACAAATCTAACCGCTAAAGAAACTTCAAAGCACAAACAAAATATAAAAAATGAAAACAAACTTATTCCCCGCTGGAATCGGAGAGGCGAAATGACGCCAGTTGGTGAAAGCCTTCGGGAAGCCAATTGGCCGATGTGTCTTCTCTCGATGAAAGCGAAAGTAAACGTGGGGACATGGAATGTCCGCACGATGTTTGAACCCAGTAAGGCAGCCCAGATTGCAAAGGAGATGAGAAGGTATAACATCGAAGTGCTTGGGATTTGCGAAAGCAGATGGAATGGGAGTGGACTCTCCAAACTGTCAACTGGAGAATCAATAATCTACTCCGGTCACCCAGACGCCAACCACGAGCACACTGAGGGAGTGGCTATCATGATGTCCTCAAGAGCATCGAAGGCTCTCATGCAGTGGGAACCAATCTCCTCCAGGATCATGACAGCAAGATTCAACTCAAAAGGAAGAAAGGTCACAATCATACAATGTTATGCACCTACAAATAATGCAGAGCAAGAGAAAAAGGAGGAATTCTACAGACAACTTCAATCAACACTGGACAAGACGTCAGTTGGCGATATCAAAATTCTGATGGGCGACATGAATGCCAAACTGGGAGGGGACAACACGGGAAGAGAACTAACCATGGGTCGAGAGGCACTAGGTGAAATGAATGAGAATGGAGAATTGTTTGCAGAATTCTGCGCATTCAACGATTTGGTGATTGGAGGCAGTGTGTTCAGGCACAAGGATATCCACAAAGCGACATGGATTTCACCAGATGGACACACTAAAAATCAAATCGACTTTATCTCAATCTCAAGAAAATGGAGACGCAGTCTACTTAACACAAGGTCAAGAAGAGGAGCAGATGTAGGTTCAGACCACTACCTAGTGCAAGGAACCTTCCAAATCAAGTTAAAAGCCTTCAAGGAAGCTGGTGATAGACCTCAACCCAAGTACAACACTCGGAAACTGAAGGATGAAACTACAAAGGAGATCTTCAAGGCAGCCATCAAGACAAAATGGGAGACGTCGAGGGACATCCCTGAAGAAACCTGTGTGGAAGAACACTGGAAGTCTTTGAAAGCTATGTGGAAAGAAACCTGCACAACAGTATTAGGAAGGAAGAAGAAAGAAGACAAGGAATGGATCTCGACGGATACCTGGAAGCTGATAGAGGAGAGGAGGATGGTGAAGCAGAAGATAAACCAGTGCAAGGATGCTCAACGACAAGAGGAACTGAGCACAATGTATAAAACACTGGACAAAGAAGTGAAGAAGAGTGCACGCAAAGACAAAAGACACTTCTACGAAACACTGGCAAGTGAAGCAGAACAGGCTGCAGGTAAGAGAGACCTGACGACATTGTATCAAATAACCAGGTTGCTATCAGGGAAGAGACCAACACAGATGAAACCAATAAAAGATGAAGAAGGAAATTTAATTACAAAAGAAGAGAAACAGAGGAAACGATGGGCCGACCACTTCAAGAAGCTCTTGAATCGACCACCACCTGCACTTCGTCCAGAAATACCACCTGCAGCCGCTGAACTACAAGTGAACATTAATCCCCCAACGAAAATGGAAGTCCTGAACGCCATAAAGCTACTGAAATGCGGGAAAGCAGCAGGACCAGATGGAATACCGCCAGAAGCACTGAGAACAGATGCAGAGACAACAGCGGACATGCTCACACCACTATTGCAGAAGGTGTGGAAGGAAGAGAAGGTACCTGCCGGTTGATTGGAAGAAGGGTTACCTTGTCAAACTGCCGAAGAAGGGAGACCTCAGTGCTTGCAAGAACTGGCGCGGAATCACTCTCCTGTCCACCCCAAGTAAAATATTAAGCCGCATCATCCTGGAGAGGCTAAGGGATGCACTGGATTCAAAACTACGACCGGAACAGGCAGGCTTCAGGAAGTACAAATCATGTGCAGACCAAATTGCAACGCTTCGTATCATCATAGAACAGAGCATAGAATGGCAATCACCTCTCCACCTCAACTTCATCGACTTTGAGAAGGCCTTTGACAGCGTCGACCGAGAAGTAATTTGGAAACTGCTTCAATACTACGGAGTACCGCAAACCTTTATCCGCCTCATTCAACAACTATATGAAGATGCTACATGCCAAGTAATCCACAATGGGAAGCTCAGTGATGCCTTTGAAGTGAAGACAGGAGTGAAACAAGGTTGCCTACTATCCCCCATGATATTCCTTATTGTGGTGGACTGGATCATGCAGCAAACAGTAGGCAGCGAGAAGAGGGGGATACACTGGACGACGGAAAAGAACCTAGAAGACTTGGATTTCGCCGATGACTTATGCCTAATGTCACATAAACTTGAAGATCTGCAGGCAAAAACTAACAAGTTGATAGAAGAGGCAGCTAAGACGGGACTTCAGGTGAATATAGAGAAGACAGAAGTGATGAAGATACCGCACCACCACCATCAACAACAACAACAACAAACTCCAATCACCGTCAACGGGAGAAACTTAAAGGAAGTAACCTCCTTCACTTATCTAGGAAGCACTGTTTCAACTACAGGCGGGACGGACGAGGACGTCAAAGTCAGAATCGGAAAAGCAAGACAGGCGTTCATTAGCCTGAAACCAGTGTGGAGATCTTCTGCACTCAGCATGCGGAACAAGATACGGATTTTCAACACCAACGTCAAGTCAGTGCTCTTGTATGGCTCAGAGACTTGGCGCGTCACGAAAGGCATTTCCAATAAACTACAGACATTCATCAACAACTGCTTACGCTCGCTGCTGAAGATCAGATGGCCAGAAAAAATAAGCAACAAGGAACTCTGGGAACGAACCAACCAAGAACCTATCACGCAACAAATATGCAGGAAGAAGTGGAGATGGATTGGCCATGCACTGAGAAGGCCGACTGAGGACATCACGCGTCAGGCCCTCGAGTGGAATCCCCATGGGAAGCGACGAGTTGGACGTCCGAGGGTGACATGGAGGAGGTCGTGCGAGGAGGAAATGAGAGGTTGTGGGCTGTCGTGGAACCAGGTTCAAAAGATCTCAGAGAACAGAGGTCACTGGAGGCGTGCTACTGAAGCCCTATGTTCCACTAGGAACCCAAGGGACTAATAATAATAATAATAATAGGATGCTCCTCCTGCAGACGTGATCCGGGCTGCTTAGCCTGAATCCTGCCAACTTTAGCTTGATGACTGCTGGAGATTTGAATGGGCTGTGCTCAGAACTAACTGAATTTTAACGTTTTAACAACCATTTTACTCTCTCCCTTTAACTGTACGCGGGTTAACATTCACGGGAGCCAACGATCCATGGATTCTGGATGCGGAAGTTTTCTGAGTGAAAGCTCTCCCTATTCCTCCATCAACCATTTCAGCAATTTGAGTCCGAAAAAGGAATACAGCGGTAAGGCAGGAAAAAAGTGTGTGAAAGACAGCACCAAAATACCCATGCTTCGACTAACTGGGTGGAGGATCACGTACGAGCCACGCAACATAGCAAAGTACCAGACAGCGTTGACGCTTGACCGTGTGGCTTTAGCTAGATGAGCCCATTCAAAATATAAGGGTCAGCATTATTAGTCATTCTTGCCAAACTCTGGGGCATTGATTTTGGAAATTGTTTGCCGCTATGGCGCTTTCAGCACATAACTTCCATCATTGAGCCCTTGAGGAAGCGATCCATAATGAATGGCTGTCTGGAGAATCATTAACTTCCCCACTGTCGAGCACTGATTTTGTGGCGAGGAATCCATTCAACATATATTTTCTTTTTGCAGGTTTAAGTGTAAACTGTACACACTGCCAGGCACTCTGACACAACTTGCCTTAGTTTCCGTGAAATAAATACTTCAACTTCACAAAACGATGAGAATATTAGAAAACTTACCATGAGACAAAATTCATGTGGACAGGATGCCGTTGCGGCTGAACTCTGAACAGAAGCTTGGGGCAACCCCCAAAAGTCTTTATCGATTCATGAGCTAGGAAAAACCAGCCCGCCAGGGAACGTGCCCTATGAGGGGCCCAAATGGAAACGACCTCTTTGGACTGGAGATCACCAAAACCTTTGGCACTGTCCTACACACAACTAAACATGTCGTCATCCGACAGAAATTGTCAACTGCTAGACCAGTTTTCAGCTCTACTGAATCCAGCAGTTACACAGAGTGAAGGTAACCCCTGCCATGGTCTTCGGAAGGCTGTCAGAGCTCCGCGACGAGAATCCACTGGGATGCGATGACATCCAGCCGGCTGTGCTGAAATAGCGTGGGGGTGCCCAATGCGGACTACTCCGTAATCTGTTTCAACACTCCCTGGACAAGCACATGCTTTCACGAGTGCTATTGTGTCCCCTATCTCCAAGGTAGGAGACAGGCAGAACCCGGAATGTTACCAACCCACAGCACTTCTACTAGTCCTGTCAAAAGTAATGCATAGCCTTGTGGGCGGCCATGTCAAACAGTGATTGGAAAAAAGGGGAGCACCATGCGAAGGGTTTCAGAAGGGGTAGGTCCTGTACCTCTAACCTGGTGGCAACTAGTGATAAGGGGACGCTATACTGGGACCTCAAAGTCCCTGTTCATGTAATGTTCTTGGATTGTATCAGGGCTTTTGACACGGGTGCGCACACCCTTCTCACTCGCAAAATATCAAGGCTGGGTGTCAGCCACGAGGAGCTCTCCTGGCTGCAGGACTATATAGACGGCAGAGAATCCTCTACAAAAGTGGATAGGATTTGCTCGACTTGGAGGACATCATCATCTGGTGTATCACGGAGAGCTATTCTGGGTCCACTGGCTTTTCTTCTTTCCGTGAATGACCATCCACTGAATCTCAGCCCCGATTCTGCTCTACGCTGACAATGTCAAGTTGTGGAGAGCTGACATCGGAAGCGGAATCAAGTGCACCGCAAAATGGTCTCAGGGTGCTTATAGAGGGTGGATAATAACGGACTAGCATTTGATCTGGATAAATGCCGGACCACGCTTCTCCGCACCCCTGACTCTCAGAAAGTACCTTACTCTCTTCGTGGAAAGCAACTTTCCCACACCATCTAGATGTAATGCAAACCGACAAGCCACATACTGTCTCCAATTTTAGGGAGATGCTTCCAGAGCCTACGCAGTGCTGCACTTCATGCTCGGACAACTAGGTGCTCTCACATCGGAACTCTTCTTGAAGCTGTTCAAGACCTAGATACTATCTCACTGGGATATCCACAACACTACTGAACCACCGTGCCCGGAGAGGGATGTGAACCTGAAGAAAGTCCAGAGGCGAACAACAAAGGGTGTCGAGGGAATGGGGCAAAAACCCTGTGTTGATGGGCCGACAGATTTGGGGCTTTACCCTCCTAGCTACGGTTTATTACGCGGTGACTTCATAACGGCTTGGGAAGTGCTGAGTAATTCAAGTCATCCGAACAGTGGAATCCCACCGAACGGCTACTGTAGCAGTTCTCGTGATAACAAAAGGAGAACCGCCCACCAAAAGGCAAACACCTGTATGCGTTCACACTTTGTCTCTGCGAGTTTAAGGCCACTAGAACGCGCTGCCTGCCGAGAATGCTATGGGTGCATCGTTTGACAGCTACAAGAAGGGGTTGCACAGTTGCGCATTGACCATAGTTTCCGCTAATCCAGCTGGGGCAAGAACTAGGTAGCAGTCGACACTCTAGCCACTAATTCGGAACGCGTCGGTATCTTGGCACGACCTCGAAAATATATTATTCCATCCAACTACGCTATCGTGTTCTTCCTTGGTCTCGTATTCGTGGGCATATAACAAGTTCAAATAATTGGTGATTGGCCTCTGCGTCTGTCAAGTCCGCGTTAGGACAGTTCCTGAA